ATATATATATATATTTATCTAATAAAGATAGATAGATATAGATAAAAAAAGATTGAAAGAGTTCCCGTGCGGTAAGAATGTACACCGTCCCACACTATACAAATTATAACTCTGTGAGGTCCCCTAATAATAATAATAATAACAACAATACACAAATCCAGGGAAGTAGTAATGATAGTAATAGTATAAATATAGCTACTACTACTACTACTACTACTACTACTACTACTACACATAGAGGTATTCATATGAATGATGATAATGATAATGACAGGAAGACTACTATACTATTACAACAAGAACCATTCTATTCATTAGACTATCATTGTAATCCTGATGGCATGAGATGGCAGTTACAACATGCCTGCTTGTATACAGAGACACTGCGGCGATTTATCGTAGAATTAGAGAGTGAAAATAGTCTTCTCCGCATTGCACTTGTAGAGGCAGCGGAGCGACGCACACGACAGCGATTTCACAGCCACCACAATCATCATACTATCACTAATAGCAAGAACCAGAGTAATAATAATAATAATAATAATAATAATAATAATAATAATAATAATAATAATAATAATAATAATAATAATAATAATAACACTAATAATAGTAATAATAACACTAATAATATTAATATCAGTAGTATGAATAAGAGAGGAAATAAGAGTAGGTGTAATGTGGATAACGCTCATACAATGGAATGGACTGTAGGGCCGCCGGTATTAGAAGAATGTCGGATGCGCATGGAGGCGATGGAAAAGACCGCCAAACATTACATTCAACAGGAATTGCAGAGACTACAGAAACAACAACACACAGATGAAATTCAACCACAATCACAACAACAACAAAAGGAAGAAAAAGAAGAGTCATTATGTTTACGTGGTGAGTGTTTTGAGGCGAATCTTTCCCTCTCAGAGCGACGCCGTTGGAAAGAACACATTCAACACACACTGGAGGAACTCGCACTGCTGCATCGAGAGATGGAAAGACAAACTATTGGGGGAAAAGGAATAACCTCCACTACTATCACCAAATCCATGGAAGAGACACCCGATACGATGATCGAGAAAAAGAAGAAGAAGAAAAACAATAATAATAATAATAATAATAACGATAACAACCATGATGACGATAATAATAATAATAATAATAATAATAATAATAATAATAATAATAATAATAATAATAATAGTAATGACAGCAATAACAACAAGAAGGATATTATTGCGATACTTACTGCACGTGTGGGGGAACTTGAGGCGGAAGTGATGTATTGGAAAGAGACTGCAGCAGCAGAGCGGGAACGTGTGAGTTTATATCAACAAGAAGCGTTAAAGGAATTACACCGCATGCATGCGGTTTATCAACGTGCATTGACAGGAGGAGAGACGACCGCCAAAGGAAGTTTTATCATGTCAGTAAAACCCAAAGAAGGAACAGATCATAATATACAACTGCAAAGAAAAGAAACTTCTCCTTCTCTTCCTCCTCCTCCTCCTTCTTCTTTTCCTATTGGTATTACACCTTCCATGGAGATGATGGGACTTCACAAAGAGGAGGAAAAGAAAGAAGAGGAGAATGTGAATATACGGCCCAGTGCGGATCGCAGCCCCTCTCTCACGACAAACGAGAGAAATAAGA